AATTTTGATGAAAAGGTGCCGCCAAATTACGTGACACTGATAACAAACTCGTTCTCTCCAAGAAGAAGTAGGTGGGGTGTTGGTAAAAACGAGTAAAATTGAACGGAACACTTAATGAAGTTGTTAAAACTAGGGCTGTGCCTGAAACCGGTTAACCGGTTATTTTTCCCGGTTATTCCATGAACGGTTTAACCGGTTTTAACTTTTGCGAGTAGCCGGTTACAGGTGTAACCGGTTTTTCCCAGTTAACTGGCTCCCAAGGAGAACAGCTTGGTCAATATGAAGTCATTTTGGAAAAATTGACACTGATATGACGTCCCAAATGACGTCCCTCGTTGCAAAAAAGTGACTGTTTGACGTCATTTTGATGTAATTGTGACATCCCTATTCTCCTTGTTATGTTAAAAGAACCGGTTACTGAAAAATAACCGGTTATTTTAGAATAACCGGAAACCGGTTATTCTAGCGGTTATTGAAATAACCGAAAACCGGTTACAAATTTCAATAACCGCACAGCCCTAGTTAAAACGTACATTCACTAATAAGCGAGCAAGAACCAGTGAATGTCTGAGACCTTATAATGTACATGTGAGCATACCAAATTTTAGAGTGTTAACACCTCTAAAACTAGGACATACTCTTGGGCCTACTAGTACTGATAAAACGTTAGTCGACTTTGGTTGAAAGAGGTGAAGGCTTTTTACCCTACGAAGGCATTCCTTGTATTAACGGCTTAAGCTCGCTCGAGAGCTCGCTTGTATTACAAAGGTTCCTATAGCATTGCTACCGCACGCTTTTGATAGTGGTGCTTTGTTTCACCTTCACTGCAAATGCTTATAAGACAGATTCGTAATGCACACTACTCGGCACACTATATTCTTCGCAACATTCCGTAGAATTCCCAATCGTTGTATTTATTTTGAACCTTTTTTTGTAAGCCTTTTGAATACACTGTCTGTAGTTCAAGCCAATTGTTGTAAGGATTTTCATGAGCTCACAAAGAAATGCTACGCGAACAAATTTCTTCTCAGTCGCAGTACAAAGAATAAGAATTCTTCGCAAACGGGTCGGGTGCAAAGGGTTGAGTTCGTGATCATGTTACTGTGTATTTCCGCATATCGCCGTTGGTCGCAGGTGTGTGGTGTACCGCAGCTACCGCGGCAGGACAGAGATAAAGTTTCAGTTTCCGGCGATATGTCGGGCGCGGCCCGGCCCGAAGCTCGCAATCACAGCCCCGACTACGTGACTGGAAGTCGTCCTGACGGCAGAAACAAGTTTTCCACTATGGAGCGGCAAATGCAAGAGTGTCATGCATTATTGATTTTGTGGCGTTATATGCAGCCCGCCTGACAGCCGTCACGCGGCATCAATACACACCCAGAAATACCAACGTTCGCACATATGTACATGTGTGTGTTTTGGGGCTCTCGGCAGCTGGCCCACGGCTGGGCGGCATCCAACAGCCCAAACAAGAGCCATTGAAAACAATATCGAGCTAATCATGTTTTCTTTGTTCGACCTTTCAGCAATCCGAATCCGTCCTCCAACGCGGACGTCGTCCTGCCCGTCTCCCGCGAGAAGAACCGCTTCCGGGGCCTGACGTGGGGCCAGTACGACGCGGGGCACCAGAAGCACCTGGAGATCAGTAAGTGTCGAGAGGGTTGTGTGCGGGAGAGAGGGGGGGGGGGCACGGTACTGCTGCGCAGGGGATGAGGCGAGGAACTTACTCTCGCTTCATTCGTATTCCCGTCGCCGCGATCTGTGCATCTGTAGGGGGCTGTAAGGCACTGTAAGGCTCGTGATGCGTGGCACGTCCGGGCCGTGCGGGCGGGGCAGGGCGGCGCGGGCGGCGTGGGCGCGCGCGGCAGCGGTGCGGCGGCGCCCCGGCTAGGGTACCAAACAACGGGGCCCGCCCTAGATTTAGTGTGAAAAAGGCTTGCCTCAGCCTCTCCCCTCAGCTGCTGCCGCCCCGCCCGCTCGTCGGCGGCCCAGCCCGGCCCCAACAGCATCCCACGACTTTTTATGTATCCCCCGGTTATTTATGACGCCTGCCGATTACACTGGCCTCTCTCGGCCCCTTTCAGGCGCGCCCGGCCCGGCCCGGCCCGGCCCGGCCCGGCCTCAGGACCGTCGCCCAGTTTGTCTCAGTCGCCCGGGCCTGGCGAGAGTTTCATGCGACGCTGCCGGGGGTGCCCAGCAGTCGCTGCCGCTGCTGCTTATATTCCAAAGCTCGGTCGGCAATCTTTCTGCCAAGGACCCCGTGATGCCCGCCCTCGCCAGCCATCTATCACATTTTTCGGATCCCTCCACTCCTCTCACTCCTCCAACCTCACTCCACCCTCTCCCCCCTCCCCCCCTCAACAATTTTAGTGCGCTGGAGCGACGACTACGGCCTGCTGCCGCACTAAGTTGACTAACAGTGATTGGGTTTTTCTTGCCCAGAGTAGTGGACGCTGCTGGGCCAACAGCAGCAGCAGCAGCAGCAGCAGCAGCGCGTCGTCCACTTTACATCTGGAGCCGTAATTTCGGTAGGCCTGCGGCGCGGAGCCCCGCGGCCCGACGGAAGGCCTCTGGGCGCCCAGCGCGGCCCCGACCGAGGCCCCGGCCGAGGCCTAGAGTAGACGTCCCCAGCCGTTCGTCGACGCTCTGCATAATTCATACAGGCCTCCGCCTCCACCCCCGCCCCTACCCCCGCCTCCCAACGCTCCTCTTACCGCCTTCCTTGTCTTTCACGGAACTTTCTCGGGATGATGATAATCTTTCCCTCTCTAAAGCAGTCAGAGTAATCCTGGTGTCATTTCCGTATCTCCTGCCGAGTTTTTCCCTATTTATAGCAAAAGAAAAATAGTTTACCTCTGTGCATACACGCTGTTTTACAAAGTGTTTTACGCGAGGATCAGGCCGTTGTGCCTCCCCCTCCTTTCTCTGCGTCTCTTGGCTTTCGGCCCAGCGGCGGCGGCCGAAGTCTCCTTGCAGCACTTTCCTTCCTATTCACATCATTTTACCCGCAAGACCGCGTTATGTAAAATGCATTACGGTGGCGCGCTCTACCGGTGAAAACTGCTTTCAAGTTGGATTTACTTATTTATGGATAATACGCCTCGGGGATGGGTCGGTCAGGTGCGATGTCGCAGTGTGAGTGGCTCAGCCCTCCCCCTATCTCTTCCCGCCCCCTCCCCCCCCCCCCCTCTCCCCCCCTCCTATCCCCGGCGCCGCCTCTTTCCTTGTCCGCAGACAGGAGGGGCGGTTCCGGTTACGCGCCAACGACTCCGCGAAAGGCAACGGCACTGTTGTAGTACAACGACGGGAGAGCTGGGTCCTTGTGATGGCGGGGGAGGGGAGGGCGAATACGGCTGTATTCTGACTGAGTTTGTATGTGTGTGTGTGCGCAGGTCTCAAGCCGCGACTCAAGAACCACTTCCGCGCCCACCAGCTGTCCGTGTGGCTGCGGCTCATCCCCGAGCTGCACCGCGCCGGCATGGAGGACGTGGTGGGCCGCCACAACATGTTCCGCAACCATCACGACCCGGGCCTGTACGACGGGCTGGTGCGCGGCCCGTCCCTAAGCGCTGCGGGTGAGTACTACGCGTCTCGCTAGGGCCCGGCCTGGCCTGGCCCTCGCCGTCGACCGTCGTGGCCGTCAACACATTCTGTCTCTCTGTCTCGCCAGGGCAAGGTGGCCGCCGGTTCGGAAACATCTCCCTCCCGGACACGGTGACGACGCTGCCGACGCCGGTGACGACGTGCATCGGCGTGATACACTACCGGACGCAGCCCACCGGCGTGGCCGTCAACGGCAGCAGCGACGCGGAGGCGGCGGCCACTGAGGCCAACAAGGCGTACTCCACGGCCCTGGGCGTGACCATCGCCATCGGCTGCTCGCTGCTCATCCTCAACATGCTCATCTTCGCCGGCGTCTACTACCAGCGCGACCGCACGCGCATGGAGGTGAAGAGCTTGCAGAAGCAGCAACAGCAGCAGCAGCAGGGCCACTTCGGCGGCGGCAGCAAGGGCAAGTACCTGGGCTGCCCCAGCGCGGCGGTGGACGTGGACCGCGAGCAGGCCGCCATGATGCTGTCGGCCAGCACGCCGCCTGGCGCCCACCCCGGCGGCTACCCGTCCAACTCGTACGGCTCGTCCTCGGGCGGCATGTACCTGGCCACCATCAAGGAGCAGCCGTCCCGCGCGCCCTGTCAGCCGTGCCAGCCCTGCCAGCCGTGCCAGGCGGACGGGATGCACCTGCCGCCGCCCCCGCCGCCCGAGATGTTCCAAACGACGCTGGTGCCGCCGCCGCCGCCGGCCGCGTCGTCGGGGGCCTCCAGGGGCAACCACGTGCACACGGCCACGCTGCCGCGCAACGCACACCTCACGGCCGAGACGTCCCTGTCGACGCCCAACGGGTCACTGCCGTACTTCTCGCTGCCCAGGTCGGCCTGTCGCGGGGGCCGCGCCAAGCAGCAGCAACAGCAGCACCAACAGCAGCACCAACAGCAGCACCAGCAGCAGCAGCACCAGCAGCAGCAACACCAGCAGCAACACCAGCAGCAACACCAGCAGCAACAGCAGCAGCAACACCAGCAGCTCAGCCAGCAGCTCAGCCAGCACCTGCAGCACAGTCCCCCCGAGTGTCAGCGACTCATTCACGGCGGGGGCGTGGGGGCCGCGGGCGGGGGCGGCGCGGTGACCACCATCAACGCGGGTGGGCCCGCGGGGGGCGGCGGCGTTAGCACGGCCATCGGCGTGCCCAGCGCGGCGCTCAGCGAGATGCGCGTCTGATATGAGGCTCCGCCGCCCGGCAGCGGCGGCGGGACAGCCACAACGCCCCGGCCCAAGAAGAACGCCAGCGTGACCTTCATCAGACTTTAAGACTTCGTGTGGTGGCCAGCTCCGGTACGGGGGACACATGGTCAGGATTCATGCTTAGGTTACTCAAAGTGCAACAGGATCAATTGTCCGTCACTGATTCGCTGCCTTACAATGAAATATTTTTGCCTCAGCTGCCGCCGATTCTCCATGTGCTGTTAAATAATGAAGTTTTGTGAAAAGTTTGTTTTTTATGTAATGATTGTCTGGAAGCCTTCTGAGGGGCATTTAAGTGCCAATATTAAAGTTTAATGAGTGAATATCTGCCGCAACGTTGTGATCTGGTAGCCCTGGATCTCTCCCTTTGTCTTTGTCAGTATTGTCACATATCTATTAATGAAATATTGCCTCAAAGGACAAGGGCTGATCTAATGGTTATTTAATTTTGCTTACCTGGCCATCCCCATTGGTAAATATATCACTTTTTTAAACAACTAAGAACTACAATTGACAATCAATATTCGATTGTTAGGATTGAATTTATGCTCTTTCTTCATTCCATTAACTGTGACTGATTTAGTCCCTCATATATTGAAGTACGCTCATTATGTTGTTTTCTTGAAGAGCAGCAATTCACTGCCAGGAGAACCTCGAAAATATATTTGTCAGTTGAAGTACAAGTGGATCTTGTTTTATAAAATCTATGGTTGCGTTAAACAGACTGTCTGTAAATTAAGATTATTGTGATATCCTTTGACCACTTAATGTACATATTTCTGTAAAATATTAGTGGTCTAAAATGTGCCTGTGTTGAATGAGTGGGTTGCTTTTAAGCATGTGAGCGATTGATTATTTGAATGAATGTGTGTGCGTGTTATGTCTGAAATATTTTACACCAATGTTAAAGCGGTTAGATATTTTCAATTATTTTATTCAATGTTATTTTTAAATATTGATATCATGAGAAAAGGTGAACCTTTCTCATGCTTGATAGTGATGTTGTTTAGTCACCAGGTTACAATACAAACGATCCTCACAATGAATGTTTTGACCTAGAACATGTTCATGAATAATGAAAAAACAAAAAAGGCAAAGTCATTGGTAGTAGATGTCTTCTGGGTTTGAATGTTACAAATTAGTTATTTCTCTTGGCCTACGCGAATTTTGCCAACAGTTTTATATTATGAATGCTAGAGATTACTTATCTGTAAAAGTATTCCAGTAACAACTGGTGACATAAAATGTCCAGCCACTCTGTTTTCATCATTTCTATTTTTTCCACAATTTTTTCTGTTTGTGGTTATTTAATTAAATTGATCTTTGCAATAAAACATAAATAAAACAAGAGTTGATGATCTATCTCACTGACTATTTAATAAAACACTTAACCCTTATTTTGATAAAAAGCCAATAACAAGAGGATCGTGACATAGAACCACTGATCCCCATTTCGTCATAACTCACTCATGCATCAAGAAGCATGAAAACCAGTGGGGCACCCTTCACTTCCGTGGCAGGTAGAGAGGGGAAACTAGCAGCAACAACTTTCACCACATACATAATAACCGCAGAAGTAATGCTGCCACATTTTGTTTCGGTACCGGGCTGTCAGAACCAGTAGCGAAAAGTGCGGACGTGAAATGTTTGTTTCGAGCAAAGTTAGACTGAGAGATCAGAACCCTTCCAACTCCCAGGAATGCTCACCAGAGCGAAAAAACGGCGCGTCGTCGGTAATTGGGGTGCTGCGCTAAAACTAGGATCAGTGTGTGACCGCTGTCGACATTTTACACGAGCAAAAATGTACAGGTCT